CGTTCCATAATTCCTCTAGTTTTCTATCAATGAGGTTTAGGATTTCCAAGTGATGCAACATTGGAGTATACATATGTGAGAAAAATATATCTTTGGGTGAACCTTTGGGTGAAAAAGACAAATTTTTAGGGCCCTCCGAGGAATGGGATTGCCTTGGAATTGGAATGGGATCGTGAAAGGAATGTGGAAGCATCCTTGAAGCTGATGTGAACCAGGCCAGTTGTAAACTCCTTACCACAACCACCCCCATAGCAGCCTAGGCATCTGCCCTGAGGGAGGTTGCCTTCTTCCTGGCATTTGGCACCTTGAACTAATTTGTTTCTTCTTCTCTGTGACACTATTGTTTTATTAGCAGTTAACAGATAATAGAGGGGCAGAGAGTAACTTGAGAACCATTGCTTATTTAGGTATGCCTGCATCATCGTATGAATATGTATGCGTATACGTTTCTTTTCCCTTCCCTTTTTTGTAGAACTGTATAAATATCAGAGCATCCATTTTGCCTGCAGGGGAGTGCCTCCCACTAACTTCTGGTGGGGTCCCCCCCCCAGTACGTACTGCTCAATAAACACTGCAGTGAAGCCTTGATTATTCTGCATTTGTGTCCTGCGTTTTGATTCCACACTATCTTCAAAAAGAGGGGAAAGGAAGATCTGGCACTATAGAAAAATCAGCCTATCAGAGACCTGGGAATGTTCCATAGATAAAGCGATTGGTCTATAAGTGACTTGACAACAGTTCAAGAATTACAAGAAGTTAGAATGGCTCTATCAAGAACTTTGACATTATGGGTATCTGCAATAGACAGGAAGTCAGGGGAAACAATGAAATGTTCATTATGAAATTTCATAAATTATATAATTTTATCACAATCAGAAGCAAATACATAATTAAAAGTACATCATGATGTTCCCATGTGCATGTTGTCATTCTGGCATCATTTTGGTATCATTTTGCCACTCCTTGCCTGACTAATCTTATCTCATTATTTAATCAAGTAACTTCCATAATAGATCATAGATATGCAGTGAACATATCTTGATTATGCAGTGAACGTATCTTGATTTCAGTCGAGTATCCATATCATCCTAATTAGCAAGTTAGTTAATGTTCAGCTGCACTGCATGACAACTAAAAGGAGATATTGCTGATTGAAAAATTGAATTCAGAGTGTTCATCAATAGTTGCTCATCAAATGGGAGAGGGGTATTGAGTGGAGGTGCCAAAGGATCACTCCTAGGTTCCCTACTTAACAATATTTGCATTAATAATTAGATTACTAAGTGATTTATTTATTCAGAAAACTGAAAACAGTAGTAGTGGTTGGCAAATTGGAGGAAAAGTTTTTGATATTCTGCAAATCTTGCCTAAATATGGATTTCCTACTTTTTCTATTATTTGGATCAATATGTGGTACGCTATTGGAATTATCTGTTCATTTTCAAAATGAACCTGCAGAACTCATCAAAGATGTCTTTTAGATCCTCTTATTTTTAATTTGATATGAGAACAATTGGCTTCTTTTATTAGACAAATGAAGAACATTTTGAGTACAACAGCAGCTGTAACAACATAAACTGCTATTAAATGTCAATGATACACTATGTCTCAGTGATATTTATGTATTTTCTATACCAAATTTGTTGATACTGAGACTGAATTGATTGAGGGGTGTATACATTTCATAAATATAAATAATGTATGAGGGGATTCAATTAATTTGGAGTTATTCAATTCCCATAAAAGCTAATGTTTCTATGAACATTTGTAATAATTAGGATTTCAACTGCTGCTTGAATTCTTTTAAATAGCTAGGAACAGTTATTTCAAGGAAAATTTTACATGATTAAAAGTCCCACTGAAATTTTTAGGGAAAAATAAATGTAATACAAATTTATTTACTTATTTATTTATTAAATTTCTTCCTGCCCATCTCCCTCCAATGGGGAACTCTGGGCAGTACGCACAAAATATTAAAACCATAAATACATATAAATACATAAAACATAAAAAATTAAAAACATTACTAAAAAGGAGTAAGAGAGTCCAAGAAGATGAAGGATCTGGGGCTAGCCATTCTCACTCTTGACTTCCTTCCCCACCCCAGGCCAAGTGGCAGAACCAGGTCTTCAAAGCCCTCTGGAAGGCCAGGAGTGAGGGGGCCAATCTCACCTCCGGGGGCAGAATATTCCAGAGAGCAGAGGCTACCGCAGAGAAGGCCCACCTTCTGGACCCGGCTAATCGAAGTTCCCTTACTGCAGGGGTCTGAAGCATGCCCTCTCTATGTGATCGAGTAGGATGGGTTGAAGTCATGGGGAAGAGGCGGTCCCTTAGGTAACCTGGACCCATGCCATGTAGGGCTTTAAAGGTGATAACCAACACCTTGAATTGGACCCAGAAGCAGACTGGTACCCAATGCAGCTTGCGGAGCAATGGTGTTACATGGGCCCCTCTTGGGGCTCCAAAAATAGCCTGCGCAGCTGCATTCTGGACCAGCTGTAGCTTCTGGATACTCTTACAGGGGTAGCCCCATGTAGAGCGCATTGCAGTAGTCTATCTGGGAGATAACAAGGGCACAAGTGACTGTTTGAAGGGCATCCTGATCTT